AGAGTCTTGTTCTGTTGCCAGGCTGGAGTGCAGTGGTGAGATCTTGGCTCACTGCAACCTCCTCTTCCAGGGTTCAAGTGATTCTCCTGCCTCAGCCTCCCAAGTAGCTGGGACTACGGGTGTGGAACACCAGGCCCGCCTAATTTTTGTATTTTTAGTAGAGATGGGGTTTTACCATGTTGGCCAGGATGGTCTTGATCTCTTGACTTCGTGATCTGCCCGACTCGGCCTCCCAAAGAGCTGGGATTGCAGGTGTGAGCTACTGCGCCCAGCCTATTTTTGGTTGTTTTTTTTTTTTTTTTTTAAAAAAGGGGAAGCATTTCATCAGATATTAAAAGCAGTCCAGAGTTTCAGTCAGATGCTAAAGCAATCCTTTGCAGAGAAAAGGGAAATATCTGTCTTACACATTTGAGTGATTCAATTATATTTTTATACACTGTCTCTGGAATGCCACAGGAAGGTGCTAAAGATATCACTCTGATCATTCAGTTTTGCTAAATACATTTAATAAACTAGATATATACTATTTGGCATTCTATATATATATATAGATATATACTGTTTGTCATTCTTCTGAATTGATAAATACATTTCCTGAATAAATACTGTTTAAGGTATGAATAAATACCTAGTATTTGAATAAAAACATAGTATTTGAATAAATACTATGTTTAAGGTTTTTTTGTTTTGGAGTGCAGTGGCACGATCATGGCTTAGTGCAGCCTCAACTGCTCCGGGCTCAGGTGATCCTTCCACCTCAGCCTCCTGTGTAGCTGGGACTACAGGCACCTGGCTAATTTTTGTATTTTTTGTAGAGATGTGGTTTCACCATGTTGCTCAGGCTGGTTTCAACTCCTGGACTCAAGCGATCCTCCCAAAGCACTAGGAGTACAAGTGTGAGTGCACCTGGACAAGTTTAAGTATTTTGGCATCTACTTCTGAATTGTAAGAAGATTAAGTATCAAAGGTGCAGCCAACATCTCTGGGCTTGGGTACCTCCTAAATAAGCCCATTCAGAATGGAGAGGCTTTCCTAAATCTTAGAGTCTCCAGGTCATTTTGCAGTGTTACAGTGGATTTGCTTTGTTTTCTTCTTTAAGACATCTAAATTATTTTACTTAATTTTTGTAAAATACTTTTGTCTTTAAAAAAGTTCTTGGCTGGGTGTGGTGGCTCATGCCTGCAATCCCAGCTCTTTGGGAGGCCATGGCAGGAGGGTCACTTGAGGCCAGGAGTTTCTGACTAGCCTGATCAAAACAGTGAGACCCCCATCTCTGCAAAAATAGAAAAATACAGTGTTCATTTGTCCGCTTTATCACAATACAGCAAACAGAAGTTATCTAATGACCTCGTGAGATGCAGCTAACACAAAAATGGTGAAGCCAGTGTTGACAGAGTCAGGGATAAAAAGAATTCAGGGACAGTGATCTGACAGATTCTTATGCTCCTTCAAAACACCCACATTAGTGGTGGGACAGCGCTTCTCAAATTTCCGTCCAGCTCATCTACTTGTGTTGGGACGTTTGTTAAAAATATTTATTCCTCAGCTGGGCACCGTGGCTCACGCCTGTAATCCCAGCGCTTTGGGAGGCTGAGGCAGGCAGATCACCTGAGGTTGGGAATTTGAGACCAGCCTGACCAACATGGAGAAAACCCTGTCTCTACTAAAAATACAAAATTAGCTGGGCATGGGGGCACATGCCTGCAATCTCAGCTACTTAGCAGGCTGAGGCAGGAGAATCGCTTGAACCCGGGAGGCAGAAGTTGTGGTGAGCTGAGATTGCGCCATTGCACTCCAGCCTGGGCAACAAGGGTGAAAAAATATACATACATTTATTCCTGGTTGAAAGTGGTGGCTCATGCCTATAATCCCAGCTACTCAGGACTCAGGAGGCCGAAGCAGGCGGATCACTTGAGCGCAGGAGTTTGAAACCAGCCCCGGGCGATGGAGGGAGACCTCATCGCTATAAAAAAATAGAAAAATTAGCTGGGTGTGGTGGCACGTGCTACTCAGGAGGCTGAGGTGGAAGGATTATTTGAGCCCCAGAGGTCCAGGCTGGAGTGAGCCAAGACTGCACCACTGCACTCCAGCCTGGGCGGCAGAGAGAGTCTCAGTCTGTTGCCCAGGCTAGAGTGCAGTGGCACCCTCTTGGCTCACTGCAGCCTCCACATCCCGGGTTCAAGTAATTCTCCTGCCTCAGTCTACCCAGTAGCTGGGACTACAGAAAATCCGTATTTTTTTTTTTGAGACGGAGTCTCGCTCTGTATTTTTGTATTTTTAGTAGAGCCGGGTTTCTCTATATTGGTCAGGCTGGTCTGGAACTCTCGAGTGCAGGAGTGCTCAGGAGCACTGGAGTGCAGTGGTATGATCTCGGCACACTGCAACCTCCGTCTCCCGGGTTCAAGTGATTCTCCTGTTTCGGCCTCCTGTGTAGCTGAGATTACAGACATGCACCACCATGCCCAGCTAATTTTTTTGTATTTTTAGTAGAGGCCGTGTTTCACCATGTTGGCCAGGATGATCTCAATCTCTTGACCTCGTGATCTGCACGCCTTAGCCTCCCAAAGTGCTGGGATTACGGGCGTGAGCCATCGCGCCCGGCCAAACTCCGCATTTTTTAAGCAAGCGCCGTAGACCCATTGGAAATTACACATGGGATTTACACGCCCCTCGTTTCCGCCAGCCTGGCACCCGCCAGACTCACGCTCGCCCCCTGTGCCTGCCTAGGCTGCCTCACCCAGGCTCCGCCCTCCTGCCTCATCCGGGTTCCGCCCCTGGGCTCCGCCCCCTGCATCGCCCAGGCTCCTCCCCCGCTCGTCTCCGGCTGCTTCTCGCGGCTTTGCGAGCTTCTTCCCATGATGCCCCGCGCCTGGCTGTCGCGGTTGCCCGGCAACGTGGGGTCCCTGGAGCTGGCCTCGCTGGAACCCGCTGGGCGATGAGGCCGCGAGGTGTTCCGCCGCTTCTGGTGGTGCTCCTGGGCTGCTGGGCTTCTGTGAGCGCCCAGACCGAGGCCACCCCGGCGGTGGCGACAGAGGGCCTCAACTCCACCGAGGCAGCCCTGGCTACTTTCGGACCTTTCCCATCGACCAGGCCCCTGGGGACCCCCAGGGCTCCAGGGCCCACCTCGGGCCCCAGGCCTACCCCGGTCACGGACGGTGGGTACCATGTGCCAGCTCCTGGGGTCCACAGTGATCCAACCTGAAGAGGGGAGCCTGGGTGAGGACGTAATAATAATGATAGCTAACGCTTATTGAGCACTCACTGCGTGCAGACGCTGCTGAGAGTTCCATAAACGTCAGTTCTCTAAACAATAACCCTGAGAGGTAGAGGTTACCATCACTGTCATGTAAATGAGAAAACCGGGTCTCAGAGAGTGTAAGTGGGACGGTATCAAATCTTTGAAAATGCTTGAAGTGGTCCCAGACAAGAGTAATGCAAAGAGTAATAATGAATGAATCCTTGCAGCCCAAGACGAAATTAAATCGTTTCTAGACAACGGTGGAAATTAATGCCTCCGCTGCAGTGAATTTTCATTTATTTAAAGAGATGTCAAAGGTCTAGCATACTAAATGTGACTAAGTTAAGACTCTTGTCTGTTGACCTGAATTCTAAAAACCCAGGATTCCTCTTGGGTTGAATTGGAGGTGGGAAGGTATGGAGGGAGGGGTTGTGCTCACCTCTTAGGATTCTTATTTAGGAATAATTAACATTTTTTTCAGAAAATGATTGTCTAATCCTGGAATTACACGTTTAGTGAAAATATTTTATAATCTAATTTGACATTTGGCTGGAACGGTTGCTCACACCTGTAATCACAGCACTTTGGGAGGCCAAGGCAGGTGGATTGCTTGAGGTCAGGAGTTTAAGATCAGTCTGGTCACCATGGCAAAACCCTGTCTCTACTAAAAATGGAAAAATTAACCGGGCATGGTGGTGCATGCCTGTAATTCCAGCTACTCAGGAGGCGGAGGCCGGATAATCGTTTGAACCCAGGAGGTGGTGGTTGCAGTCACTACCACTGCACTCCGGACGGGGTGACAGAACAAGACTGTCCAAAAAAAAAAAAAAAAAAAAAAAAAAAAAAAGAAAAAGACATGGATAACTTCGGAGAATGTGACCCCCTAAGATTGAGCACAAAACTTTGTGAATATGCCTTTTCCTGAGATGAGAGTTCATAGCCGATTCTCCAAGTGGTTCATGATCTCAAAAAAATTTTTAAAGTTTTCTCTTAGTGTAAATTGAGAGTAACCCCAGCAGATATACAATACTTTTAATCTTTTTTAAACTCCTTTTTTTTTCTTTTTTTTTTTGAGACAAGGTCTCGCTTTGTTACCTAGGCTGGAGTGCAGTGGCACGATCATGTTTCTTTAGCCTCAATCTACTGGGCTCAAGGGATCCTTCTGCCTCACCCACCAGAGTAGCTGGAACCACAGGTGAACACCCTCAGCTTGCTAATTTTTTAAATTTTAGTAGAGATGAGAGCTCGCTATGTTGTTCAGGCTGATTTCAGACTCCTGGGCTTAACTGATCCTCCCACCTTGGCTTTTCTAAGTGCCGGGATTGCAGGTGTGAGCCCCTGTGCCTGGCCTATCCCTTAAGATCTTTTCCACCGGTCACGGTGGCTCACATTTGTAATCCCAACACTTTGGGAGGTCGAGGCGGGCAATCACGAGGTTGATCGTGACCATCCTGGCCATAGAAAAATTAGCTGGGCGTGGTGGCGTGCACTTGTAGTCCCAGCTACTCAGGAGGATGAGGCAGGAGAATCTCTTGAACCTGTGAGGTGGAGTTTGTAGGGAGCTGAGATCACGCCACTGCACTCCAGCCTGGCGACAGAGCAAGACTTTGTCTCAAAAAAAATCTTTTCTCAAATTGATTTATACTCAGTATTAGTTAAAAAGTCATCCTTGGCTGACATCCTGAACTCTAGGACTTACCTTCAGCTACTGAACCTTTATTTCTCCAAAAGTATTCTCCTCTCTTTTTTTTTTTCGAGGCGGAGTCTCGTTCTGTCACCCAGGCCGGAGTACAGTGGCTTAATCTTGGCTCACCGCAACCTCTACCTCCCTGGTTCGGGCAATTCCCCTGCCTCAGCCCCCCGAGTAGCTGGGATTACAGGTGCATGCCACCATGCCTGGCTAATTGTTTTTGTATTTTAATAGAGACGGGGTTTCACCATGTTGGCCAGACTGGTCTCAATCTCCTGACCTCATGATCCACCCGCCTCAGCCTCCCAAAGTGCTGGGATTACAGGCATGAGCCACCTCGTTTAGCTGTGTTTTATATTTAAATTGTTGATTTGATGCATTAGTTGGGAAGTTAAATTAGTGACAAACTGGGACAGAATAAAGCCAAGTATTCAATGCCTGAAATTCTCTAAGGTTTTTGGACTGGATTGTCATTTGTTCATGTAAGTACTCCATCTGTTTATGCATTTTCTCTCCAAAATAAAGCTATGCTTGAAATATTATTTTAGCATGCGTTCAAGGCTGTTTTTCCTGTATAGGGGATGAATTTGTACTTGTCCTTACACTTTTTATTTTTTTGGATACAGGGTCTTTGTTATTCAGGCTGGAGTGTAGTGACATGATTACAGCTCACTGCAGCCTCGACCTCCTAGGCTCAAGTGATCTTCCCACCTCAGACTACCAGGTAGCTGAAACTATAGGTGCACGCCACCATGCCCGGCTAATTTTTTGTAGAGATGGGTTTTGCCTTGTTGCCCAGGCTGGTCTTAAACTCCTGGTCTCAAGTGATTGCCTGCCTCAGCCTCCCAGAGTGCTGGGATTACAGGCATGAGCTACGGCACTCTGCCTGTCTTCACTTTCTAAAAAGACTCCTCTTTAGACTTGTGACAGTAATAATAACTCATTTGTTAACTGTTTACTGTGTGTCAGGCACTGTGCTAAGTATTTCACCTGTGATGTATCTCATTTAATCTTACAACGACCCCATGATGAGGGGACTGTTATCTCCATTTTTCAGGTGGGTAAATTATTTGCCTAATTTTAGGACACAACTTGTAGATATTGGAGCAGGAGGCTGACTGAGTGGAGAGCTGGATGGAAAATTGCAGATGGCTTGAAGGCAGTGTTGATGGAGAAGAGTGATAATCCTTCATCTTGAATCCGGGCACTTTCATTAGTACCTTGCTCTACAAGGCACCTGTGCAGACGCAGACACACTAGGAGGCAAGAGCAGCTGAGTGCTGCTTAGACCTGACAAGGGCTCAACAGCTACTTGTTGGATGATTAAGTGCACTCACATCCTGGGTAGAGACTTTTTTCCCAAGTGGAGTTATTAAACACTATTGCTTTGTCCTTCGTCATCTTACAGCTACCTACAAGGGCTTTAAGTTTTGAAAACAAAGCAAGATAGTAATTTTCAACATAGAGGGAACCTAAAGCACATTTTATTATTATTTTTTTGAGACCAAGTCTTGCTCTGTCACCCAGGCTGGAGTGTAGTGGTGAGATCTCAGCTCACTGCAAACAAACTCCACCTCCCTGGTTCAAGCGATTCTCCTGCATCAGCCTCCCAAGTAGCTGGGACTACAGGCATGTGCCACCACACCCAGCCACATTTTTGTATTTTTAGTAGATACGGGTTGCACTGTGTTAGCCAGAATTGTCTCCATCTCCTGACCTCGTGATCTGCCCACCTCGGCCTCCCGAAGTGCTGGAATTACGGGCATGAACCAAGGTGCCTGGCCCCACTTTTTTTTATATTAGCGTGCATAACTTGTATCATTTTACTAAGCACATAGGAGAGTTCTCTACTAGAGAGAAGCACTGTAAACTTTAGGGGGAAAACTTTTGTGTCTTAGAAATCATTGCATATTAACAAAGCCTTCCCCTTTACCTCACACTTTTTTCCAGAGTATATTATACCTTTTATGGGGTAGTTTTTTTTTTTTTTTAGAGGGAGGCAGAGTCTCACTCTGTTGCCCAGGCTGGAGTGCAGTGGCGGAATCTCAGCTCTTGGAGATTGAGATTCCACCAAGAGAATCTGGCAACCCTGCACCTCCTGGGTTCAATCAATTCTCCTTCCTCAGCTAGGTTTTTTTTTTTTTGTATTTTTAGTAGAGATGGGGTTTCACCATGTTGGCCAGGCTGGTCTTGAACTCCTGACCTCAGGTGATCCACACTTCTCAGGCTTCCAAAGTGCTAGGATTACAGGCGTGAGCTATAGGGTACATTTTTCTAAAGCTCCTTTTTATTGTGAAATAATTCATATGTACAAATAAGAATGTTGGGTGGACACTAGCAACATTTGCTTCAGATTCCTTTTTCATTATTGTTTTTTGGCTTGAGAGTTTTTTTTTTTTTTTTTTGGTATTATGGCGTCTTGCTCTGTCTTCCAGGCTGGAGTGCAGTAGTGGGATCTTGGTTTACTGCAACTTCTGCCTTCTGGGTTCAAGCAATTTCTCCTGCCTCAGCCTCCCTGAGTAGCTTGGATTACAGGCACCCACCACCATGCCTAGCTAATTTTTGTATTTTTAATAGAGACAGGGTTTCACCATGTTGACCAGGGTGGTCTTGAACTCCTGACCTCAAGTGATCACCTGCCTCCCAAAGTGCTGGGATTACAGGCGTTAATCACAGTGCCTGGTCTTGAAATCTTCTTTTGAAAAAGAAAACATTACAGGTAAAATTGAAGGTTGATGTTATTTCTTCCCTTTCAGCAATAATCAAACCATAAATTTATTATCTGCTATTTCTTTAAAGGGGTTTTCCTTATTTGACAGAATAAAATAATTAAAAATCCATATAATCATCTTTGTTAGAAGGCAGCAAAGAAAAATCATCCTTATTAATAATTAAAAGTTGGCCAAGATCGGCTGTTCATGCCTGTAATCCTAGCACTTTGGGAGGATAAGACTGGCAGATCACTTGAGGTCAGGAGTTCAAGACCAGCCTGGCCAACATGGTGAACCCTGTCTCTACTAAAAATACAAAAAACATTAGCTGGGTGTGGTGGTGCATGCCTGTAATCCCAGCTACTCAGGAGGCTGAGGTAGGAGAATCACTTGAATCCAGGAGGCGGAGGTTGCAGTGAGCCAAGATCAGGCCATTACACTCCAGCCTGGGCGACAAGAGCTGAAACTCTGTCTCAAAAAGGCCGGGTACGGTGGCTCATGCCTGTAATCCCAGCACTTTGGGAAGGTGGACGAATCTTGAGGTCAGGAGATTGAGACCATCCTGGCTAACACGGTGAAACCTTGTCTCTACTAAAATACAAAAAATTAGCTGGGCATGGTGGCACACACCTGTAATCCCAGCTACCTGGGAGGCTGAGGCAGGAAAATCGCTTGAACCTGGGAGGCGGAGGTTGCAGTGAGCTGAGATTGCACCACTGCACTCTAGCCTGGGTGACAGAGCGAGGCTCCGTCTA